AAGGGGCTGATAGCCTAAATTAAATATATTATTGTTACTTATTATTATCAAAAAGGAAAAAATACAATATATGAGTGTGATTTTTTACATCCAAACTCATAAATAATCTAAAACTGTGTTTTAAATCAACAAACATGTCATGAATTTGGATGTTGAATCCCAAATTGTCCATAAAAAACAGTCAAACAAAAAAATTAAACACTCAGCAATAGAAACCTAGAAGAAGTAGAAAATATGATGAACTGATTTGAGTTTTATGAAACATTACTTGACCCCCCCACAAACCCAAACACGCATCTAAAATCTAAATTTCCTTGGTGCCAAGTTACGCATATGTGGAGGAGCTCAACCATGGGTTCTATTGACCATCAAAACAGGTATAAAACTTTGTCTTAATGAATGCCTGGTAAAAACAAGCAGTGGCAGAGAGCTTCTGTTTGGATTTGTTTTTTTTGGCAATTTTTACAATTACAAAAAAGACAAAATTTCAGAGAATAATGCAAAAGAACATAAACAGAAGTTTAATTGAAGGGGTTTTATTGTATTGTTAGGATATCTGTCATTTAGGCACAACACTAATTGTCTAGAATGGAGTATGCCTAATGTAGCTTTTTAATATACTTTAATAATACATTTGCTGACATATTTATGGCTGTTATTTTTTTCTAGTGGTTTAGCACAGATGGTCAGTCATTCATAATGTGGAATTTAAAGACAGGTTATGTTAGAGTGAACTAAGCTACAGCAGCCTCCAGTAAGGTTAAGATTAATATAAAATAAAATCCCAAAGCTTTATATATCAGAGAGTTTATACTTGTTCCACCTAACATTGACTATACACTATTTATTTTATTCCCTGACATCAAAGTCTCTTCCTAATCTCTTTCCACTGAAGTCCTTTTCTTAACCCCTGTTTGTTCCCGGGCTTAAGTAAATCTAAGCCCAGAGCTCTATCATACAACTAAACATTGATTTTCTGCAGTTTTGAGGTTCAGTGAAATGACATCAGCCTCCTGAGCATGATGAGAAGTTGCTTTTTTTATTTACCTATTCAGTTTATTTTCTCCTGACTTTATATCCTTTATAGTTCCCATAGCTGAAAGCATACACCCTAAGGTCACCAGTTCTTAGAGACTAAGCACTTTCTGAAAGATGTAAACAAATTGTGTAAAGGAGAAATGAACCACATTTGCTGTCTCCCTGAAGTTTCCTCCTAGGAAAACAAACAGTTCAGCCATCATCTCCTCTCGTTATTGTGATCTCTGCAGCTTGAGAATTCTGTGGTGTCTGGCCAGAAATGAGACACCCTTTACTCCCCTTTGGGCTTTTATTGCAAGGTTCTAACCACATAAGGGACCCAGACATATGTTTGCTCTTAGAAAGTCCAAGAACCTCCTCAACAACATATGGAACCCATAGTGGTTTCCTCAATGGTGTCAGCAAGGATATAGTTTCACCCAATACAAAGCCATCAACTACTCTGTGAAGTAAAACCAACCTTTAGGGCTTACTTAAAGTTCCAGTTCATCTTCTTATAAGTATAATGTTTTTTCCTTGTAACTGTACTAAGCTTGCATAAACAGGCATGCATTCAGACCTATAGTATGTGTGTCTCAAAGACATCAGAAAACAGATGCACATATTTTCTCTTAATCTCCCTTTTTCCTTCCTTCAGCCTGATCTTCTGATCTTTAAGTGGATGTGTTTTGCAGGAGCGTGCTGGATCCTGTCCCATTTTATCTTAAATAGGTTAGCCCCAACTTCAGAACTCAGCAGATAAAACACTGTATCTTACTTCACTTAGGATTTTTCTTTAAGGTAGAACTCTATTTGTTTTTTTCCTTGTAGTCAGTGAAAGAAACACATTGTTGTATATACAGTTTAATGGTTAAACAATTTGGATTATGTACTGATTATGCTCTTGTGTTCTGACTGTTTATGTAAGCCGTGCCACGTTTTTGGTTTTTAGCACATGACTTACCCTGGCTGGTCTAAGTGAGTCTCTTGAGCTTAAGCTGACTAGTGGATAGGGAGACATTTTCCATCAAGAATTTCTGGTAGAGACTAGAACTAGTGGTTTAGTCAATCACACTGCCACCACCATGTTGGAGGGTAGATGTGAAGCTCTTTTCCTGAAAGGCTGTGTTGGTTTTAACTTTATTTTTTTTCCGTACACAAATAAATTGCACAGAACTCTCAGGTATCTTCAAGATGTTTAGGTTGTTGGGTTCTTTTTCTGGAAATTTGAGGCGTCTTTTTGTTTTTTTATTCTCCCCAGTGGTTTTCATCTTGGTACTCCCATCTATGTCAGTTTTTCCCACTATCTTTCTGTCTTATTGGTGAGTTCTAAACATAGACCCTGGGATGAATGTAAATACTATGGTTGCATTTTTACCTCCATTGTGATGTCTAAGTATTTGGAATTGTGCTTTTGTAATAATTTCAGCCACCCTAAAGGTTGTGCACCAATGGTCTTCCATTTGTTAATTTATTTCCCTCTATGCAAAGTCCTAAAGACTTATGACAGCTTACAGAATTACTTTCTGCACATTGGTTTGGTTATTTTTTCTATCTTTAAAGAAAACTGTATTATGTATGATCTTCGGATATCTTAATATCTGGTTGAAGCTTTCCTTTTTTTATTGCATGTCTATTAATTAACACTTTCCAATCGCTGGAAATTCTACAAATTAATTTACAATTTCTTCAAAAACATGCATCAACATGAATCAAATAAAACTGAGAGGTGGATTTTTCTAGTATCCTCGCCCCACAGTTGTGTGGTTTTTTGGTAGTGCCTTTACCTAGGCCCCTTCCTTTAAGTGCAGCAACAGGGAAGCACCAGGGCTTCATCTGAAATAGCAGAGTGAGTCACCCGGGTGGCCAGGACTCATGGCCTTGCATGCCCAGATGATTTTCCACAAGTCATTTCAGATCATTGCCTTGTAAAAATCTCTAAGTTATATTTAGGCTATAGTATCTTTTGAAACACAAAGATGTTGTGCAGGTTTAGTTCACTTTGCAGTCTAATACGCACTAAATCTGCTTGTCAGCCAGCTCCTGCATTTTCCACTCTTATATCTATGATTTTTCAGAATGTAGTGTGACTTTGCGTGGGTAATTCCATACCTCTGCAAGCCACAAACAGTTTGCATTTATTCAACGCTTCACATCCTACTGAGAAGGACCCAATTCAAGCTAGCAACAGTCACCATGACACCACCAGTATCATGAGGTGTTATGAGAACCATGCTAGCTGGATCCTGAATATCTTGGCTATGACCAACATTCACCTGACATGTTCACTCAGATATCTGTGTTTGTTCTTGCCTCTTCTCTCCATCTGTTATTTCACTCATGAGAAAAGGTTGTTTGGGCAGCGTGTTTTCTGGCTAGGGTTTACACTTCTGCAGTTTTGTATTTGCATCCAGGTAAACTAGCAAATGTGAAACTGAAGCTGTGACCTTGCAAAATAATAAATATGATATATGTCTTTATGCTTTGGGTTACTGCAAAACAAGATAGTACCAGATTATCCAGCTACTATAAGATCTTTCATCTGCCTAAATCTACTGATTTGGTGCAAAATCCATCTCTCTGTTGTTTTTCATTGACTTCACTTAAACCATAAACGTCATTACTATGTTTCATTTATTGTAAATAAATATATATTCAGTTAATATTTAATGAAATAAAAGCAATTTTTGCAACAATAATACTGAGCTTATTCGTAAAGGTTCACACGACTGGGAATTTCTTGAATAGTAGGCATTTGCCCACATAGATTTGTATCATTTAACTGCATCGGATTGTGGGCTGATTGAGTTCCAGATAACTTGGACATGCAACTAATTCATAATTTTTAAGTAATGTGTTTGGTTTGACTTTGGTCTGCCAAGCAGAGAAGATTTAAATTAGAGAATCAAGCTATTGCTGCAAATTGAAAACAATTTCCTTATTGTGTCATTAAGGGAAAACCTCTGTGTTCTGATTCAACTGCTCTGTGAAATATTCATTATTCGGACCCACTTGGAAACTTTAATATGCTAGCCAGATTTAACTTGTTAGCCAACAAGTATGCTTCTAATTGTGCTTATTTACACCTTAGCTACAGTTTGTTTGGCATGAATGTCAATTCTCCCCATGGTGCCGAGGGAGTAATTGTTTTGTGTGGGAGCACAGCCCTGCATCACTGTGTGGGTTGTGTTTAGACGATTTGTGGTTTAGCTGTAATTATTCAAACTGTCCACTCATAAAACACATGATCATGGGAAGTCTGAGGCGCACCAGAGGGACTGCGGAGTCCATGCAACAAGATTCAGATTTTCTTTTAGATCTCTGCTTTTTACAAAATGCCTTTTCCTTTACTGTTTTTCTTAAAGCTGGGGTTTGGATATTAAAAGATGTTGAATAATGGGCTCTTAGTTTTGGTTACAAAGAGCAAATGTTGCCAGCAGTGTTGAACACATTTAAATGAGTTTATGAGTGGTGCTAAGCTTTTGAAAAACCATCCACTTAAAGATGTTGTTGTTTACAGGACAGACTCAAAGTGAGCGCAGCGTTTCCTGGCGTCAGACAGAAAATATGTCAACTGAGAGGCTTTTAGGAGAAACCTTAGCCTTTTTATGCTGTGCGTTGTTTGTATGTGTGGGGATATTTGAACCATCCTTTCTACACCTTGCCTATAGATTAGAAGGGCTTTTTGACAGATCTGATTAGTTTTTTAGCTCACTATATATTAAAATAATACTTCAATTATATTTCCTGTATTGCTTTCAAATCAGAGTGTCAGGGGCTTTAAATGATCGGTTGGAATTAATCCAAACTACTCTGTTTAAATCTTTCTAAATCTCTTCCCACAACATCCCATTATTCTCCTGTAAAACAACATCCTGAATCAGCTGATATTTCCATTGATGCAACTAGCATGGTTATCAATCACTAATTTTCAGATCCAAATAACAGCTACAATGGAATCCTTATGTCTTTACTGTTTGCAGACTAAACTTCCTGTACTGCTGTTGGGCCATTCATCTGATCTGAGGCCGGGGGAGTTTGTTGTCGCCATCGGCAGCCCGTTTTCCCTGCAGAACACAGTCACTACAGGTATCGTCAGCACCACCCAGCGAGGAGGCAGAGAGCTTGGTCTTCGTAACTCCGACATGGACTACATTCAGACGGATGCTATTATCAATGTAAATATTAAAGGATAGCTTTTTTTATGTTTTCCCCATATAAACACAGTTTAAAAAGCTGTTACTTTTGATTCACAGTATGGTAACTCTGGAGGGCCTCTGGTTAATCTGGTAAGCCACTTATTTTTTTTATTTGTAGCACATAACCAGTTTTTCACACACATGAGCTATTGAAAGTCCTTGACTTTTTTTAGGATGGAGAAGTGATCGGGATCAACACGCTGAAAGTGACTGCTGGCATTTCCTTCGCCATTCCCTCAGACAAGATCCGACAGTTTTTGGCGGAGTCATATGACAGGCAGTCCAGAGGTACGAGCCCCCACTATAACACATCAACAAACTTTCTTTGATCCCTCAATCAACAAAATGAAATGCTGATGTAAAAAAAAAAAAAAGAAGCTGAAGAGCAGAAAATAAAATCTTTATGGTGAAGCTATTAATTAGTTACATTTTTATTGGTTTAGTTCAAATCAAGTAACATTTTAACTCTAGGACACCTTTTCCAGGATCCAGAGATGTTCTCTTGGGCATTTTTCCAGATTGGAAATGGTAAAAAAAAAAATTATCTGTTGGGCTAAAAACAGGCTGGGTATACTTTAAATAAATGGGTATACTATAAGCAAATGGCTCTGGTAGTGCTAACCTGATCCTCAATGATTTAGCTCATTGGAATATAAGGCAACCATTCCAAATTGGTTACATTTTTTACCATTAGGTTTTATTTTAACCATTAATTCATTGGACATCGATTTCTGTGCTGAAAAGTTTAAGAAGCAAGGCATATACTAAAGCATGCGTGTGAGAAGCTCATTTCCTTTGATGGAATTCCGTTCATGTTCTTTTATTTTATTTTGATGAAATGAAAAAAATCAGATATAATGGTTGCTGAAAACCAGTTTGTAAACTCAAGTCAGAGCTCATATTTATCGTTCCTCTGCCTAAAATATGGTGAAGGCAGAAGGTCTGTATACATTACATGACTTAAAAGCATTATTGTGGAAACTAAAAGGCTTTATTCTATGAAAGGAATTGTTGCAGATTAATATAGATTTTTGGAACAAATTTTGTTAGGCGTTAATAATCCATATTTTTTGTTTCTGTATGCCAGTGTTATTGTGCAATAAAAAATTTACCATTTTAAAGAAGATAATCACACCAAAGTGATCTGTCAATCTTCTTCTGTGATGCCCATTTATAGGAAGAGCAGATGCTAAAAAGAAATATATTGGAGTGAGGATGATGACTCTTACGCCAACGTAAGTCTCCGCAGTTGTGTGTTATTGTTTTTTTTCTCTGGCATATATTCAAAGTATGCTAAGTGTTTGAATAAAACTCGAGTGAATTTATCAAAAAACTGTTTGAAAGCTGTAAAAGATCGATTGTGGTGAAATTTTCCTTCCACTTCTCTTCCTTCAGGTTGGCTAAGGAACTGAAAACTCGACATCGGGACTTCCCTGACATCACCTCAGGAGCCTATGTGATGGAGGTCATTGCAAAAACCCCGGCTGCAATGTAAGAAAGACCTTTTTGTTCCAGTAGATTTGAATAAATTTACTCAGTACTTTACGGGACCTTTACCAGAATACACTTCTGTTAATTCCCACCAAAAGTATCTTGTCTCTCTCAGTTCACTAACTTTTAACTGTTCAAATAGGAAATAGTCTAGTTTTAACTTCCCTTTCTTAATTTCATAGCTGTACTTAAACAGATAAATATACCCTACCACCCACAGTTACTGGGATGTAACTTCATTATGTACTCTAACATGCCTGAAGCCGCTGCATAACACTCCCCCTCCTCCCACTCGCCCTGCCCATTTGTAGCAACTTCTACCACTGCTCCAGCAGAGTGGGGCGCGGGAGACGCTGAGGTCAGCTGTTTCCTTCAAACCTCATGCTGGGAGGTTACTGGTTGCACTGTGGTTTTCTTGCGCCTGTTCCTCAGCCCACGATGGAGCAGCCCCTCTCCTTTGAGACCTTGTCGGAGTTTACCCAATGCCTAAATCATGCAGATTTCTGTAGAACAACAGTTCTGTGGTTCCTTTTATATTCAAGTTTACTTTTCTAGCCTGCAGCTTTGGTGCTTTTGATGTTGATCTGTGTTTTGTTGGCTTGTGGTATTTAGAAACTTGAATGGGATGTGGACAGCTTCCCATTCGCTTGCAGCTGCTGAAAGTAATGAATGCATATGTGTTGCTACTAATAAAAAATGGGATGTAAGAGTAAAGTGTAGCTGTTATTAAGGGTATTAAAGCCCTGTTTAAGGTTTCAGCAGATGGGTATCGGACCTATCCCAAAGGGATAAGGCTTAAAGGCAGACTCACCACTGGCCATGAGATTACATCTGTTATTTGCACTGGAAATGCCTTGGTATTCCCAGTCCCAGAAGAACTGAACCATTTAAATTGGAGAGGGGGGACATCTGACAATCTTTAATTTGAATCCTGCCCCTGAAACTGATTGTCAGATAAGCAGCTGGGACATGAAGAAATTAGAGTAATGGTACTGACAGAAACTTTAAGGTTCTGTCTAGTTGTCCACCTTTTATTTCCTTACATGTATTTTCTTAATTTGATGTGATAAAAAATGGATTTAGGTGTAATCAATCAGTAAAACCTGAGATATGCAATCCAGTAAAATGATAAGAAAGAAGGCAGCCATCTACAAACAAAATGATAACTGACTTGATTTGCCAGCACTGGCTACATTATCACATGTAAAGACATCATTGTTCTGTTAAAGGTGTCCTGTGTTACAGGAAAAGGAGATAACATTCAAATTCCAGACCTGTTTGTCTCTTTTTTGGGAATTTTGTTTAACATACCAAATAGTGCATCATTTTGAAGTCTAAGAATTTTGGAACATGATTTGTGAACCTTATTTAAACACAAATATGAAAAAAGTGTTCTCTTAATATATATCTATAGTCCCTGTTACCCTTATGCCTTTGGATAAACTTCAGTGGAATCATCATTCTTGAGAAATGACATATATAGCAAAAAGAGCCCACTTGTGTGTAACACAACCTCAATATTTCTGCAGAGGTTCTGTCAAAGTCCCAGGCATTTATTAAACCAGGCAGAGCGGTTGTGGACTAACAACTACCAACCCATCAAGACATGGCATACTACCTTCTCTATTATACTATGATTAGATGAGATCAAAATCAAACAGTTTTGACCTATTTTGTCCTAACAGAGACAGGAAATCTGAACAAGGTTGCAAATAAAGTTAAATAAAGGAAACTATTGTAGGAAAACCTGCCATCATGGTGCTAAACATGAAGCCAAAGATACAGTGGAATGATGACAAGACGTGAAAGCTGCTATTCAGATGCTGTCCATGCAGCTGACTAAACATTACTTTGCAGAGAAGAATGGGCATTAAATTCAATCTTTATGTCAGCAAAGCATGTCGAGTCAAAGGTGTTTTGGTTAGGACTGAAACTATTACAAGCATTAATGGTGATTAATCAATTATTTAAATAATTGTCAACTAATTTAGTAATCAATCAATCATTAAATGGAGTAGAGAAACCATTTTGCATTTAAGATATAAAATATTTTTCTTCTGTCAACATGCTATATCCAGAACTCCTCAAGTAGAAAAGTTTTAGTTTAGTTATATTTTATAAAAAGTCTGCTTTAAGGAACCTGCTTTCCGATTATGAATCGATTAATCGAGAAAAATAATCTACAGATTAATCGATTTGCAAAAAATAGTAAGTTGCAGCGCTAATTTCAACTTAAATTACTTCCAAAGTATAAACTTGGGGAGGATCTAGACAAATACTTGTTAAACCTTTTAGATTTTTTTAATGTATGGAAAAATTAAAAAGCAATGTATCTCTTTGCTTCCACCACTGTTATTTTGGGTGAAGGATTTGACTCTACGAGTAATGAGGCCACAGTTAGTACTAGTGTTGCGCCAATGCCATTTTTTGGCCCCGATACCGATACCAGATACCTGGCTGTGCAGAATCGGTACCATAAGGATACTATCTGTTTGAAATTGATGTGTGTGTATATATGAAGAGCTCCATACTACTTGGATGCAAAATAATTGCCATCATGGCTTTGTCAAGCTGCGCCCTACCTTTGTGAAGAAAGAAATAGACTAATACAAAGTGAATCCAACTTTCACTACAAAGTGAATGAACTTTTTATTGCCTACCTGGAATGGGTGACAATAGTTGAATAAACTTTCTGCTCTCAAAATGGTATCTGTGCCCTATTTGTTGGTACTAACTAATTCCAATACCACCATTTTAGTGCAGTATCTGGGCCCTGTCCGATACTGGTATTGGTATCGATGCAATCAGTGCAAATTAGTACCAAAGCCTTTTGAAAATGGCTTGGAACGAGGTCTGGTGGCTCTTATATGTTTCATCTTTTTTGTGTCCTGTAATTTTGTCTCCTGAAATAACAGAAAATAAAGGTGAGATGAAACGGTAATACAGTAATACACCTTTTTGGCTGGTAGCATGTTCACCTCAGCCATGGCTTTACCCAACAAAATATCCAATCACCCAACCCAGAATACCTGTCCTGTATATCAAGTATTTGTTTCTTCCAGACAAGAAGTCTAAATCCCTATATCTTTTCCTTTAGTGGTGGACTCAAAGAACATGATGTCATCATCTCCATCAACGGCCAGAGGATTTTAACAGCGACTGATGTCAGCGCTGCCATCAAGAGCGATGCCACCTTGAAAGTGGTTGTACGCCGTGGCAACGAGGACGCCATCCTCACTGTTGTTCCAGTAGAGATTGATCCTTGACCCTTCATATATTGGGGTTAGGTTTAACTTATCATTCAGAGGACCTTATGTAGAAGGGATCTTCAGCTTACCTGCCGACTTGTGGCTAAAGGCCTAGCGGCACCACGCATCCAGAGAAACTCCTGGCTTTGCCTTGAAAGGAACGACCGTACTGACGCTCTAAAAGCAGCGCTGTTCTTTGTTTATCTGTTTGTGTCTTCACTTTTAGCCCTTATTTTATTTTTTTTTATAATAAATGCTACTACTGTTTGATCAGAAACATAAAGCCTTGATTATCATCTTATTATTTGTCGTTTTCATATGGACTTAAGCTCAGTCGGATCCTCTGCTTTTTTAAAAGTAGAAACTCACTGAGCAGATCTGATTTGTATAATTTTTGTTTTCCAGCCTCCTTTTTTTAAGTACTGTAGAATGTTTTTTGTTAATTATGTGATGTATACTGAGGAGAAAATAAAGGGTTTACCAACATTTGTTTTGACATTTTGTATGCTGACTATCTCATTTTTCCTTCACATTTCTTTTCAGTAGGTTTTAAAAACACCCTCTTTTTGGATGTATCAATATTATCTTTGTGTGTGTGTGCCGAGTTTTGGGTTACCTCCGCTCATGCAATTGTGCACACAGAAAGGGGGCTTGGAGCCAATAGGGGTCTGGTTTGAATTTGTTTTTATTGCCTTCATATGGGCTTGATAGCACTCTGGTGCGATTGTTGGTCCAGGGACTGTGCAGACTGAACCCAGAGACAGGGGTGCGAGCCAACTGGAGATCTGACCCAACATAAAGTGGCCCCAGATTAGGGCTTTATATACATATATGCAGTGGTGCTGTGAAGGAGATTTGCTTATTTTATCAATTTAGTAAAGATGACAAAGTTCACCTTGTGAGAACTAAAAAGATGCAACTGGTTTTATAAACATAAACGTCTAGACAAAACAAGTTTTTTGGTATACTTTATTTAGCTCCATCATCAGTTATATTTATGCATTATGTGCTGCATCTGCTCTAAAAAGAAAGCAAAACCTCAAATACCATTTCAACGGCTCTTGCTTTTTTCTTTTTTTTGCATTTTTTTTTGGCTTGTTTCCTGCTATTCATATTTGACTTGCAGAGCATGTCTCTAATAACCACTTTATGTTTATTCTGCCTTTCCTTCTGCCATTTCCTGCCACCACATTTATTATAGAGCAGCTTTACGGTAATGCACAGAAACCCACATGCCTGCATGATAAATGATCAAATATGTTTGAGCACAATTTAGTTCGACATGTGTTTGGTTAACTTTTATGATACCGCTTGGGATCTGTGTTTAGATCTGGACACAGATGTGAAAAGAGAAATTAAAGCAAAACTGAGAAAGCAAGATTAACTAGTGCTGCTAGTGCCACCTTCTGGTTCTTTTTCAGAGTTGCATTTCTCTAATTGACCAAGCTCTTTGCTAATACCTTGCAAATATTTAACTCAAAGGGTCTTTCTTGCTGTTTTTAGTTTCTTTACAGTTTCCTGTTGGACATATTCTGGAATCATTTAGTCAAAGGTTTCATAACAATTAAAGATTACAGCACAAATACATACAACTGGGCTCAGCTGGGAAGTTTGCCTCTTAATGATGTCATGACTGCACAACTGCCAAAATCTGAGTTCATAACAGTCATGCTGGGCATGGCTGTATTACCTCACCTCCTCTGGGCCCTGCATTGGACTGACAGTTTCTACACAAGCCCAAAATCTTAAAAACATTGAAAAATGTGAGACTTCATATGAGTGCAGTGTTATTGATTCAACTTTAACTCATAAAGTTATTGTCATCCATTTGCCAGCAGAAAAAATTTATGTAATTTATTAGGTAATGGCCTGTTTGTCTCTGTTCAGACACCTGCTTTCCTCTACAAAATGCCTCACTTATTTTGTGATGATTACTCAGGAGGAAACATTCCTCTGAAGTTTTTATTAATTTTGATACGGTAGTGTGGGTATTACGGTAGTATCGTGCAGTCAATGCTGATTAGTCAGATGCATACCCATAATGATCAATATGATATTTAGCTTGTCCTCTTCAGGCAACTAGCAGCTGAAATACAATGCCTTGTAATTTTCTGCCTTGTCATTTGTGCTAACAGACAAATGGGTGGCTAGTGAGTGTATGTTGATACCATCTTGGGCAAAACAAACTGCTTGATGTAAAGAACCCAAACTTTCTCGTGGGAAATTTTCTTTCTTGTTTTATGTTTTATTTTGTTCTTTGAAGCTGAGACCAGTCACTTCCACAGAGACCTCAGTGGTCTGAAGGAAATGATGTCTGTCTATGTTGAGTGATGTTCTTTTTATTGTTGATAAAGTTGTGACCACTTTTCCCTGCAGACTTAATATATCCCCTTTTACTTACATCATACCCTACATGACCCCTGCTGCCAAAGTTGTCAGAGCAGTTTGAAGGGTTCTGAACAGTAAGTATAGCAAGTTTTCAACACTAATCCTTGGTTCCTTAGAGAACAAGTGGGAAACTGCAGTTAGTGCTATCTTTACATTCTATTGTGTATC